CACAAACAGTTCTAGATAAGTAAAAAGGAAAAATCGATATTTAATTTATCGATAAGTTGTTCTTATAGTGCCAAAAAACATCTTATAAAAGTTTTGTTGAAATTTATACGAGTTGCCAAACTTTCTTTGGATAGAAATCAGGGAGCGTTCGGTAACGACAGTTCTTTTCCTAAGTATTGCCACCTTGTCTCCCGAAACATTTGTACCAGTCAGTAGAAACATTATTATATTGCACCTCAGTTTAGTTCTGAAGAACTAGATTCGCTTTCCGATCGCATATGATCTTCCTAGTATCGCACTTACGCCTTCAATGATAATTTTGAGGTGTTTTCTCCATCAATTCGTGACTTTTTCCGAAAACAGTCGGATCAGGATTGTTGTTAGATACTTTTTTTTTATCACCGTAAGACACTTTAAGTTATATTTTTTGCTTTTAAAAGCTTCAAAGTAACATGCTTGGCCTTTAATACATATTCAAATCAGTTATTTTGAACTTTGTGGTTTTCGTTATTTTATATCCTGTTATGTTATCAGCATAGTTTTTATTATCATATATATATATATATATATATATATATCATATATACATATTTTTGATACAATTCGTTTATAGGCACTTGCCGAGAATAAAATAAAATAAGCCTTAAATTTAAAATGTACAGTTGACAATTTTTTTTCTTGCAACTTGCTTGATATGCTTTATTTATGTACATATCTACATATGTATGTATTGTATGTATGTACGTAAGCAAGTATTTTTGAAGTATTTGCACTTTACTTGCCAGGCAACAAAAAATAAATAAAATATAAAAAAAACGAACAATAACAACCACACGGTAGTGAAAAAATAACCAAAATGTTAAAGAGCACATGAACAACAAATAATGCTAAAAACAAGAACAACAATACCAAATAAATAAATAAGTAAAATGCGAATTAAGCTGATAAAGCTGGAATTTGATTAACCTTTTTATTTGTATTCTGGTGTTGCAATTCGAATTTATTTGAGGTGCAAATAAATGAAACGAAAGAAAATGCAGCGGACACATATATGTATATATATGTATGTGTGTGTGTGTCGCCTTTAAGAAAGTAAATAGCATAAGTGGCTACAATATATTTACATATGCATGTGGGTATCTGCAATATTAAAGACTTGGTTGCAGTTAAAAAAATTTTAAAAAATATTAAAAATTATAAAAAAATTAATTCAAATTTTATACACGCCAAGTAAGGAGTTTTACAGTGGTGGAAAAGAAATGTTAAACAATTATTTAAACAAAGAAGAATGTAATTGCGAACTGCTCAGTAATGTATATTTTTTAAATTTATTTCGTATTTATTTTTATTTGATATTTCTATTTTTTTATATTTGAACAAAAAAATTTTATTCGCAAACTGTTAAATAATACTTTTTTAAATTTCATTAATTTTTATTTAATTTGTATTTTTTTATTTTCAACAGTAAAATATCAAGTTCCACTTTACTTTACTAAATACTATGAGAAAATAAAATTTTTTGCATTATTATCACAGATTTTGGATTGTGTTTGTTGTTATTGTTGCAGAAAACACATTAATGTTGTTTAGAAAATTATCCTGTGAAAACCCTTTGAGTTAAAGTCGTCCTTTGTTTAGATTTGGTTTTCGTTTCGGTTATGTCAAACCGAATTTTATGAGAATTTGAGTCTCACCATATGCTACTCCTTTGTTTTCCATATTTTTTCACTGCTGAAACTAGAAAAAGCACTGACTTAAAAACAAAAGCATATTTACATACATTTTTACCAATAGGTGTGTAACTTTACTATAAAATGTTGCCTACATTTAGGCGTTTGCTCTTAATGAGTAAACTTCAGCACCTATTTAGCTAATAGTATTATTTTTTCTGTCAAATTCTAGTAAAAAATAAAAAAGATCATAGCTTTTATATTACATATTATAAAAGTTCTAAATTAATACAGTAAAAATTTCAAATTAAAAATTATAAATAAAATAGTAATATAAATTGTTGCTTTGTTGTTACATATTTTTCATTCAATTTCTGACACTAGAACGCACACTCACATTAATACCTACATTAATTTTTTCTAATAGATGTGCAATTTTGCTAAAGTGTTATATACATTTAGGCGTTTGTTCTAAATATAATTTATTTAGCATAGCTCAGCACCTATTTAGTAGATAGTAATATTTATTTCAATCAAATTACCGTTAAAAAATAGAAGGGCTATTATTTTTTTTTAATTAGTATAAATTTAACTAAAAGTTGTAAGAAATTACTTGAAAATATAATATACAAATTTTCAGTTTAAAGTTATAAAAAAATCTAAATAAATAAATAAATAAATAGAGCAATACTAATTAATTATAATTTTTTTCTGATTTTTTTTTAACAAAAATAAAATTGTATATTAAAACAAAAACAATAGTTATTTTATTACCAGCAAAGTCTGCCTTTTAATTATACATTTTTATTTATTTTTCTAGTTTATTTAAACATTTTTCAAAACTTTATTTATCGATTTAAAATATTTTGAAAAAAAAAATGGTAAGACTCTGTGGTACTCAGAAAAATATCATTTTTTCATTTTCACATTTTTGAAATTAAAAAGCTCAAGAATTAAGAAAAATAATATTTTCTCCACAAAAATAGATTATTAAAAAAAAATGTATACCAAAAAATTTTAAAGTATAAATTTTTTTTTTGGTTTTTCCAAAATATTTTGGAAATTCATTCATTTAAATAACCGGTATCTTATGTACATATGACTGTTTGCAAACAGATCTCCACATATTTTTGTCTACATTTATTTAAGCGATCTCGAACAGCGTGCTAGTTTTGCAACTTTTGTCTAGAATGCGCTCGTCGTCGTTGTTTACTATTAATTAAGTACACAATTGTTGAATTTCATACAACTTTTAGACAATTTAAATTTTACACCTGCCATTTGTAGTTGCCAGGCTTTTTGAAACTCGTTTAGGTAAGAAATGCATACAATATACATACATACATACCTAGAATACATTTATATATAGAACTATGAGATAACTGGGTGTGGAGTGTTGCGAGAGCAATTAAAACAAAGCGCATCAATTCAACTTATTAAAGACTTAAAGGCAGTCACACGCACAAAAACCACTTATTTTCGAAATACATACATGCATACATATGTTTATATGTTTTCACATACTAATCGAACAACTCTCGACTTTTGACACTTGGACGGCGGAGTTGTCAGGCGAGAAGTTGAGTTGAGTGCTCGAACTGTATGAAGATTTAATTTTTCGCATTAACTCGTAAACAATCTGACACACACTTATATATAAATATACATACATATACACACATTCATTTGTCAGGTTTTCTGTTTGTGAAATTGAATGCAACACCAATTTGTTTAAAATCTCAATCTGAACTGTTTAATTCATGTAAATTGTATTTACAAGACAACAAAGAAACCCACACACACACACACTAACGCATCGCGAACAGATTAACAAAGCAGCAACAGTGTGGTTAATGAGAAACCATTAATACGCAAATCAGTGCATTCACTTTTCGGCGACAAAATTATGCGCTTGCATTTAGTAAATTCACTTTTAAAATAATTAACGCAAAAAGTAATTGCAAACAATTCACTGTCAAAGTTAAATGGTCAAAAAAAGTATTATATGTATATTTACTATATATTTTGAGTACTTCAAGTTACTGTGTTGGGCAGTCAATTTTTGTTTTTTATTTATTCAAAATATGACGCAATTTGCTTCCAAATCTGCTGTTACTTTTGCCAACTATAAATATATATATTTTGAAAAATAATATTAAAACAATATCTGAAATATATCGCTTTTGAAAAAAAAATATATAAAAAAAAGTTACTAAAAATCAAAAAATATTATTCTATATTTTTAAAATATATAAATTTTAATATTAAAAGCTCTTAAGTCGTTTACACACAAATATAGTATAATCAAAAATTAATAAACATTAAATAAATTAGTTTTCTGCAATATGTTTTGAATTCTTTATAAAAAACGAAAAAAAATATAAAAAGTATACAAAATATTACAAAAAATATTGTTCTATGTTTTTTTTTTTCAAATCTAAGCATAGAATTTATTTCTTCGAATTCAGCAGCCTTTAAAAATATAATATTGAATAAATCTTAAAAAGATATATGTATCTTCCCAAATTTTTTGTTACAATTTTAAGTATTTAATTTTATATCTTAAATTCAACAGCATTAACATAATATTAAATAAAAAACGAATACAAATAAAATAACATTAATAAAAAAGTTAAATAAATTACATAAAAATTAAAATAAAAACAAAAAAATAGCTTCTCATATTTATTTGATTACCAATGTTGCTATATTATTTTTAACAAATTTAAATATTAAAAAAAGAAAATCCAAACTAAAGCATATGATACTTTTTATTTTTAATTACATATAAATTATGTGGAATACATGAATTTGTTTTTTTTTTTTGTTATAACGTGATTTTTATAAAAAAATATTTTTTGTTAAATTTTCATTCTTAACAAGAAACTTATTTTTGAAAATAAAAATTTTAATACTTAATGTTTAATAGTTTTCACTACATATTAATTATGCGAAATGCGTCGATATTTGTTTGATTATAATTTTAATAAATTTCCACTTTTTTCAGAAATTAATTTTTAAAAATAAAATCTTTTTTTTTAGCATAATTTATAATTAAATTTTCCAAAAAATATAATGCATTGCTATTAATATTTAATATTATTTGAATAAATATAGTACATACATTCTTTACCAGAAATTTATTTTTTAAAATAATTTTTTTTATTTAAAATATTTTAATTTTAATATTTTTTTATTCTTTTTCAGAAGTTAATTTTTTTTTTTAATAAAATATTTTAATATTCACAAAACAATTATATTATTATTATTATTATTTTTTAAAATTATACCTTTTAACTCAAAACTAATAATTTTTTTCTTTCTTTACAGAGAACTGCAAGATGGCACATTAAAAGATAATAACCTTATGGATGGCTCCAGAATTATATTGATACCAAATGTAGAGACCGGCTTACTGGTAAGTGAAAAAGAAATTTTTAAATTAAAATCAAAAATTTAATTCATGAGAAATGTAATAATGTAAGGAGAGAGCAGTGAACCACATTAAAAATATCTAAAAAAAAATTTCAAAATATTTTGTATATTTTTAGACTAGTACTAGTTTAGTACTATTCAGGCAGACAAAATATTTTACCAAAAAATTAGAAATAAATAACATTGTCATATATGTACATATAATAAGCTTCCGCATCAGACCTAATGAGTTTAAACATGCGTACATGCATATGTATGTACACTATGTATGCAATAGATTTAATGAAGTTATATAGGCTTTGTGAATTTTTGTATCAAAATTCGCTTTTATTGTAATTTTTCCAAAAACACAATTTTCGATTTTAAATGAGAACTTTATTCATATAGCAATGATCGAGAAAACAAGTACAAGAAAACTAAATTTCAGAAATTAAAAAAAAAAATTTCGAATACATTTTATACTTTACAATCAAAAATAATGAAATATCAATGTCAAGAGTACAGCCTATGACAAAAGTGTAGATAAATTGCTTTAAAAATGCAAATTTTCCAACCATTTTTCGCTGACCTCAAACAAAACAATTTGATTATAAATCAATTGGCAACTATACGCAATATTGAAAGTAATTTTGCTGATATGTTTTTTTTACAAATACGATACAAAAAAATAATTTAAATATATAATTGAAGCGCTTTAACAGACATACATACACTCGTGTATTTAAATGACAAAGACTCATCGGAATATTTATTAAATCCACTTCGATAAAACTTGTTAAAAGCGACTGCCTTTCTATACCACATACGCACACACATACATGCATACAATTGACTTGCTTTTGTTTATATGCATTTTTCATCAATACCGCCTTTGTACAAAAAAGCGAAACTCGTTGCGAGTAATGGCAAATTTTTAACCAAAATTTCCACAATTTCATTTTAGTCAGACCTGCTTGACGACCTCGCCATAGTGACTACAACAATATACAACAAACAAAAGACCGAAATGCCAAAAAAGAAAAAAAAATTTTGAATTAAATTTCAATTAACTACAAATAAGCTATGAGTGAAACGCATGTTAAAAAGTTCGAATTCGAAATTTGAAGCCACCAACACACTCACCTTCCAACTTACTGCCAAACATACATGTGTGTGTGTATCTATTTCGTACTTGACACCAGTAAATCCAGCGCGTGTGCTTAAATAGCTATTTTTTTAGTTAAAAGCGTTCGCACAGCAATTATAGTGTTTTATTTAGCATACATATATACATGCACATATTAATGTATGTATGTATGTTTGTATGCGTTTAATTTATATCAATATCAACAGCCGAAAACAAATACAACAACCCAACACGCAACGCTTTAGGTGATTTGCTGATCACTTTGCTGAGGATGACGATGAGGGCGTGCGTTTGTGCGCAGCCGCACACGGCTAATTCGATCGCAGCGCTTGACTTGGCTTACTGCACGACGCCGCACATGCAAGCCTGGTGTGAAATCCACCGGTAGCAGTCGCGCAAGTCTTTGTGCACTGACATAATCGCCTTTGTCGGCCGACAGCGGTGTTGTTGGTGGCTTTCCAAAGAGACTTGTCGGCGTATGTCTGCTGCCGCGTACACATGTGTTTGTATGTATGTATGTATGTCCGTCGCGTTGGTGGCTCTGCGATGGCTTGACAACTGGTCTCTTGAGCTCTTGTTTAGCCAGTTCTCGTGCTCACTCGTGAGTGAGTAGTTTTGTAGTTGTCATCTGCATTTGTTTGTTGTGTTGTATAGTTTTAGTTTTTCGAAATTTAATATGACGCTCACTTGTTATTGCTTTATGTTGTAGTCACATACATATATATACCTGTGTTCTTTGTTTGATAAAAAACGCCTGTAAAGTATGTCAACTAGACAACATTGCTGATAACCTTACTAAAAGCTGCTTGAGCGAAAACTATTGTTTGCTACTATCATTAAAAAAGAACCGTGGAATACTTAAAAAACTTTGCCGATAAATGAATATTTATATACATATGTATATTTAAGGTTTAAAATTTGTAATTAGAAAGCTCTTAAAACTTGAGAGCTTTTTTGAAGCTTTAAAAAAAAATCTTCAAAATATTTTTAATAAATTTTTACGGTACTTTATTTCTGAGAGCTTTGTAATGCTAGCTTAGCGCACTTAGCTTTTTTTTAGTTTTCAAAAGATTAAAAAGCATTAAGCTCTGTATGTTTTATACCTAACCTCAAAATATTTCAGTGCGAACTAATTAAAACTTTACCTGTGTGAAAAATTTAATAATAATAAGCTTTTTAGAGCTTTGATAAAAACCTGCACAAAAACGCCTCTGATTTTTTTTGGCATATTGTTACTCAAAAGCTTTTCAAGCTTTCACAAAAGCATGAGCTTTCCTATCAACATTTTTAAAAGCACTCAAGACCAATTCTTGTACTTTCAGCAAATTTAAGAAGCTTAATATTTTATATATTTATAATATTTCGAGTTAATAATAAGTTTTTTGAGCTTACCGTAATTAATACATGCCAAATATAGTTCTTGTAAGTAAGTGTCGCCTAGTAATTTTACCAAAGCTTTAATTCATTTAATACTTTAGGCGATTCAAAAGCTTTCTCTCAGAATTAAATGAGAAATTAGGAGTCTTTATGGAAGGTAGATCAGAAATTGAGCTTTTAATGAGAATTTTATGTTTTTAATGAGTTTTTCGAATCTAAAAAGTTTGTGTGATCGGTTCTACGCTCACGCAATTACTAAGAAGAAGTGCAAAAATCCGAAATTCTAAAGCCAGTTGAACTCAAAGCAATTATTCCCTTACAGTTTCAGTTTTTTTCATATAAATGTTTTATTTATAGGTATATATTAAGAACGAAGTTAAATAAGAGTAAATAGTTAGACCAAAGCTTTTGCCAATCAAGCTTTAAAGCTGCTTTGTGATATATGACAATCGCTGATTCGTAGAACCGCCAGATTTTCCTAGGCATCTACCAACATGCATCTTTTTTAATCATAGAAATGGCCTAAAGAGTAGAGTATAACACCGCTACTCCAGTTTCTCACTTGAAAACCGTTAGCATTAAAAAGTGCAAGCCTTTCTCTTGTCCTCTTTGTGGTAAAAGCTACTAACTGTTGCGGTGTCACGTGTCTACTAAGAGTCGTAGAGGTAAACAGCTGGAAAACCGTTTACTGTCAGTTGACTTTCAAAGTGTTTACAACAGTTTTGTTTTTTTTTATTCTCTAAGCCATATGCAGCTTGCGGCTCCACACGTCAAAGACACGCCATAAACTAGAGCAAACTGTTAATGCTACGATTACCCAATTCTTTTTCTGCGGTTTCTTTGCCGGTTTCTCCAGCGGCAACAACAGTCAGTCAGTCATCTTCAGCTGGTTCTCTAACAGCGCATGCCGTATAATTTGCTCTTTGCCGTTGCTCCATGCTTTTTACAGTACGAAACATACGCTTTCGTAACACTGTTTCTGGCACAACTAACTGCTCGTCGCTGTGGCGAGTAGCGTGTTACTCCATATCGGTGTCTTCAATTGTTATGGGAAGCGTTACTTTGCTGGTGACCAAAACAACAACAAATGTTGTAAAATTATTGTGCATACTATAAATGTTTTTGTTTTTATTGTTATTGCTTTTGCTATTTTTTATTGCTTCCAATCATTGCTCTTGTGTGTGTTTGTGTGTATATTTGCCTCCGCGACTTCTTACCCACATTTGGTGCTGCTGTTATCGTAAAGCATTTAAGAATTTTTCATTCTCAACGCTGTCATTCTTTCCTCTTGTCTTCTTTAGTTTTGCTAGTGTTCTTTTCGTCACTTCCTCTAACTGCTGTTGATGGTTTACTCACCTACTGCACTTCTAAATACTTATATGGTATATATGTACCTAAAAATATATCCATATACATACATATATGAATTCGTGATTTTTGTGTTTAATTATGTTTGACTTTTATTGTTGCTATTAATATGATTTTGTGATTTGTTCTTTCTTCTCTTTGACCGAATTTCCGAGATAATATCGTCACGGGTATACGTTTGCTTTGTATTGGGGACAATAACGGTGTTTAGTTTGGTTCTTGCTTGGAATTTTGTAACTCAACGCGCATATTTCGTTTAATTGTATGAATTTCAATTCAACATTTGCTTCTTTTTTACCTTTTGTTCTATCTCTTTACTAAATGTCTTTTTAACTGCTAATGTTATTCTCTTCAGCACCGTTGCTTTTGTGTAGCAACTGCTAGGTTACGCTGTATGTAGTCACAGCTGTTCTGTTTGCCTATTGGATACACCATTTTCATGGAATATTTGCATGGCATTTACATAAATCAACGACGGGATGAACTTTATTTGGTGATTAATATGTATACCTTCGAGTAGATGTAGCTATGTATATCTACGTTGGTTTGAAAGAAATAAAGGCAAGAATCCTTTAAGTTCAGTTTTATGAAGTTAAATTAGAAGAAAATGTAATAATTACGGGGTAATAGGTCTCCCAGCATCATTACAGTTTCTAAAAGATCTTATATATCTCAAAAAGTTCAGTATAGTCAAAAAACACTTTGGTCCGGCCTCAATAGTCCAAGAATAAACAAATAGTAGGAGCGTTTTGAAAACTTAAGTTTTAAAGGCTTGAAGACAAAAATAAGCTTCAAAGATACTGACCGATCAAAATCAAGTTTTTGTATGGAAAACTTTTTTATTTTACAAGATATCTTCACAAAATTCGGCACATATTGTTGTTCAAGACGACGCAATAATATTCGAACATATTGTTCAGATTGGAGCAGTATAGCATATAGCTGCTGTACAAATGGGTCGATCAAAATGAAGTCGTTGTAAGAAAAATTTTTTAGTTAAAAATTTAAGTTGTTGTCGAACATAGCGCTACAATCTCCGAACAAATTGTTTAGATCGGACCACTATAACATATATCTGCAACAACAACTGACTTATCAAAATGATGATAAAC